TCTCACGCGTACGCACACCTTGCCATGGGATGCTCCCTTGGAAAAATTTGTATTCAGGGGTCTGTGTGGGGGGGTTTTTTGTCGTTTCACGATGACATGATCTCCAGGCTGAGTTGAGGAAAGCAACAATCACCACCAAGGGCTGCAGAAGCCTGATTTTTATATCCTATTTATTGCTCTGCTGGAGATTAACTGGTTCGTTTTTGGGCAAGTCACTTTGAAATCTCCACGCCTCCATTTATCACTCAGTAAGGGCATTTATTACGTTAGGACTGTACAAAATGTCTCAGCTCTCCTTTTCGGCTACCCAGGTGGTTTCTGGGAGAAGCGTAGGTGGGGGGAGCGGGTGCTGTGGGCACAAAGTGGTGTTTCATTTCTGCCGCCGCAGCGTGAGATGGCCAGGCCTGGGGGGTTTGGGTTTGAACCATCAAACTCCTTCACAAGCAGCCCTGGAGGTGGAGAAGCCCCTCTGCTTACCAAAACCCCCATTCTGCACAAGAACCTTCCAGGGCTACCAACCAACATCTGTCTCTCCTCTGTCTTGCAGTGGGTGTGCGATGCTTCTGTTGAAGGGCTGAGAGACAGTAAATGGCTCCACTACTTCTGCATCAGAGCATTTTTCCCTGGCATTCTACATCCCAGGTATCACAGTTCAACTGTTGATGCTGAACTGGTGAGCTGGACAAGCACAGGGCTTGGCTGAGGGAACTCCACAGAGTCGGTTTTGGGTATTTTGGAGGGGTCAAATGTCTCGCATGGAGTATTACAGAACAAACGCTACAGTCTATAGCACTGTTTGAGTAAGTCAGACTAAAGCTGAGAGCAGGAGGCTCCTCCACCGGCTGGGTACTGCTCCAGCCCTCCACGGTCAACACCAGGAATAGTGTCACTGCAGCCCCACGTGCCAGAAAAATGACAAGGAGGGAAATAAACTAATGAGAAGAGCAACACACTTCTTTTTTTTTTTTTTAAGGGAAAAAATATGACATGGAAAATGAAAATGAAAATGAAATGTGCCTTTTTGTCCAGATTGCTGTTGGGTGAAGTATTAGCAAGATCTCTACCAGCTGACGCCTATGTGACAGACGTGGGTGCTACGGGCCAAAGTGATGCCTCCCAGACCACGCGGGCACCAAGAGCATCGCCTCGGCGAGGGATCTACGCTGCTGAGTACGAAACGCGGGACACCACGTAGTTACATTTATTCTGCCCGGGAAAAATTAACCCCACAGAAACAGGCAGGTTTAACGGAGGGCGTTCAGTGGCTCTCCGCTCCTGTTTTAGTGAATCTGCTTTAAGAAACGAAGGACCAACCAACCCAGCAGACCTGGCTGAAGATTTTCAGCATGACACGCGAACGTTTTTGGAATAGGTTCTTCTCTCCATCTTTCCTACCAGGATCTCCATTAGCACGTACTGGAAGTAATACATTATGTTTGCGTGCATTTCATCCAGATGGGAGTGCAACTATGTCAGTAGGCAGGATAGAGCGCCGAGACAATTTGGATAACCGAAAGAAGCTTGCCATAAGCAGATAAGCAAGAATAAAAACATGCACAAATCTCAGCGCGCTTACACAACCCTTAGGTGAAGCGCTGTGCCACAGCTAGATTATTTTCTCAGGTTAACAAGCGAGTGAATTATAACACTCACTTAACTGCTTACTAACGTGTATGATCTCCAGGGCTTAGAGCATCACCTGTCAGCCTCACTCCACAACCGTAAATAAAAAGGAATCTGATGCAAGGACAAGGTGGTGGCCCCAGCCTCGGTGGCCACCATCCCCGTCCCCGCGCTGTGCAGCCCTACCCCTCTGTCTGGGCAAGCTGAGCTCAGAGCTCGGTGCCCACCGGGGACCAGGCCCATCCTCAGGCAGGGCAGTGGGCACACGGAGGCTGGTGGTGGCTTCCCACGAGCACGGCACATGGAAGATGAAACCACGGGTTATCGGAAACTTTGACATTTAATCCGAGCCCCAAAATAACGGTTTTATTATGCTGCCATTGCATAAGCTTCTTTGAAAGTCAAACGAAACACAGCTTTTTTTTTTTTTTTTTTGCAACAGCATCTGTGTCTTTGCTTGGGATTAGGGATGTAATTGTGCATGATGACACAGGCTTCTTAGGCATGTCACCCTCGCCTGCACACAACAGTGCAGTTGCTGAGGATGAATGCTGGCTGGAAACTGCGAGGTATTCAGAGGAATGTCTCTCATTTCTCCTGCTTCAATGAGGGAATTTCCTCCAGCCTGACAAGGAAAGTTTTGAAGCAAATCAGTACGAGACGAAGTGCATAATGCATGGAAATTACGTTTTCATAAAAACCACTGGCAAGTTTGCAACTTAAATCGCGGTATATTTTCCTCTCCTGCCTCTCTCGTTGCCTCTCCACCACCCTGCGTCTATTCTTTGCCATCCTGGTTCCTGCCTCCTGCACAAACCCATCCAAACCAGAACATTTGTGCTGACAAAACTGGGCTAAACTCGGTATGCTTTTCTTTTTTCCCCAAGCTCATGCAGCACGTTTGTTCTGCGTGCGACTGCTTCATTAAGAACGAGGTATGCCACGGATCAGAAAGTAATTAAAACAGCCAGACACTCCCCCCCCTAAATTCTGATAAACCATCTCAGCCATTAACCCTTTCGCTGTGCCACGCGTTCCAAAACCACCGGGCTCGCTCCACCGAGGGGTACGACGCCGTGTAAACCCAGCCCATCGCTGCGCTCCTCGGGGCTGGGGTGGGATCCGCTCTCCCTCCCAAGAGCTTCACAAATCTGGCGGCTTCCCCGCCAGCTGAAGCTGATTTTGCCGATAAAGCCCCAGCCGTTCCTGCAAACTTGTAGCAAATATTGTTCTAGATGTATTATATTAGGTGTTTTCGGCTGCCCGCAGACCCTCGCCAGCATCCCAGGGAGAGCCTGGTGAGGAAGAGGGCGAGGAGGAAGGATTTATGGAAATAAAAAAAAAAAAAAAAGAAGAAAAAAAAAAAGAAGAAAGGTTTTGCAGTCACAGTGAGAACTCAAACTCCACCCCGGCTCACAGGCAGCCCCGCTTGTTGCACGCAGCCCCGCGTATAAAGTGCTTTTGTTTCATTTTTAATACACAAAGCCTGCTTGTCCTCTCCTGCCGCTCCTCCCCTTTGCCACCCACTTGTATCCGATCCCAATGGCACCCCTGCCAAGAGAATTAGGGAGTGCTCCCTGCTAAATGGCAGCCTTTGTGTGACCGCAAGACGGCTGGTACTATCTCACAGAAACAAAAGCAGAAGCCATTTGCCTAATTCTTATTAATATCGGTTGCCTACGCCACGCAGCATTTAAGGAAAAAAAAAAAAAAAAAAGAAGAAAAAAGGCTTTAAACATGTTGACTTGCAGTATATAAAAGTGCATCAAGAAGCCATCCTGACACTCGCCCGAATTACTCCTTCACAACAAAGTAGCTACAGTTTTACAGTCAACTACACACTTTATTAAACAAACAGAAAAGAAACAGGAAATTTCCCCTTGCCTGGAAAATGTTGCCTCCACATTCTTCTTCTTATTAAAAACCACACATGGCAGTGGAGGAGGAGGGAGGGAGGAGAAGGGGGGGAACCCACACACGATAAAATACTACCACTTTGCAGCGCGTTGCCTCTCCTTTCGTCTACGAGGGGGTATCTTCAAACAAGCAATCCCGCGGCCCACAGCTGCAACATCTCAAGACAAATGTCTCTTTGAACACGGAGGGAAAAGAAAAGGCTTTTGTCCTGAGCCACGGAAGAATAGTCTGAAAACGCGAGAGGAGTTACGGTCACCTCTGCGCGGCTCCCAACTCTTCAGAGCACTCCCTCCAGACTTTGCCGAAGCTTTTAACTAATCGTAGTTCTTTCCCAGCCCTTGAATAAAATCATGTGAGTGCCAGCCAAAAAATCTTATGCTATGCACACTAAAGGGTTTGTATATGTCACAGTTGCTTTTTCCCCCTTCCACTCCCCTCCTCCTATTGACTTGCACATACGGCGGGTTTTTTTTTTGAGTCGTCTCAAATGGATTTAATCTGTGCCACGCTGCGTTTTATGTTTGTTTGGTTGGTTTGGTTTTTTTGTGTGTGTGTGTACGTGGGTTTTTTTCAAACTCGAAAATGAAACGTGCCTTTCTGTGCGGCGTAGATTGAACGAGGCTCCAGAAACAGGCTGATAGCCCTCAGCAGCAGCGGCAGCCCCGCGAAAACAGACACAAAGCACCGGGGCAAAGCAAGGCTGCGCCCATCTCGGCCAGCACCCGGAAACGAAGGGCCAAATTCTTTCTTGACGTGTAAATCAACTGATTTTCAGCATCAGAAAGGACATTCGCTTGCTAGAAGGATTCATATCTTCTCGGAGATGCCCATGTCCTGGTCCTGCTTAGTTTGCCCCAAATAGGTAAAAGCAGCCCTGTATCGTGACCATCCCAATCCCAGACTTCTGCAGAGTGTGGGGAAGTGCTGCTGTGGGACATAGTGAAGGAGAAGAGGTCATAGAATCATAAAATGATAGAATGGTTTGGGTTGGAAGGGACCTCAAAGATCATCTAGTTCCAACCTCCCTGCCCTGGGCAGGGAGGGACACCTTCCACTACACCAGGTTGCTCAAAGCCTCATCCAACCTGGCCTTGAACACTTCCAGGGATGGGGCAGCCACAGCTTCTCTGGGCAACCTGTGCCAGTGCCTCACCACCCTCAATGTAAAAAATTTATTCCTTAGATCTAATCTAAATCTCCCCTCTTTCAGTTTAAAGCCATTGCCCCTTGTCCTATCACTACACGCCCTTGTCAAAAGTCCCTCTCCAGCTTTCCTGTAGGCCCCCTTTAGGTACTGGAAGGCTGCTAGAAGGTCTTCCCAGAGCCATCTCTTCTCCAGGCTGAACAACTCCAACTCTCTCAGCCTCTCTTCATAGGAGAGGTGCTCCAGCCCTTGGATCATCTTTGTAGCCCTCCTCTGGACCTGCTCCAACAGCTCCATGTCCTTCTTACATTGGTCGTACCTATGCAATGCCCCATCTCCAGAGTATGCAGTGGCTCACGGCTTGGAGCAGTTGTTTTTTTTCTCTTTCCAGTTGCCATCATCATGGCCAGCAGCAGCAACAGCTAGAAACAATCCTCATCCAAGAAATAAGGAAAAAAAATCTGTATCTCACTCCCAGTTTAATACTGTTAGTGCTGCATCTTACTATTTGTCATTCCCTGGCGAAAGAGTGGTGCGAGTTAGTGAACAGAGGGATCCAGGTGGCCTTTGTCCAAACTACCTTGGACCTGTCAAACTGATTTCAGCCCCAAACTGAACCAGAGCACTGCTGGTGCACTGGCGGTACCGGCTACTGTGCTTTTACCTGGGAAAAATGCGGTACATGAGGAAATCCGTCAGCAGCAAGGTTAGCCTGCACAGGCTTCTTGTTTTCCATCACCATCCCACTTGTTCAAACAGCATCATCCCTCCCCTTCGCAGACCTGGGGAGGTGTGAACCACCCCGTGCCAGTCCAAGGGAGACACTCAGGATGCTTCTGGATGCGTCCTGGAATCAGAGGACGAGGTCAAGAATAAGGAGAGCAAAAGTTTACTACCAGAAGCTGGTACTGGCTTGTAAGATAAAGATCAACAGACCTGTCAGTGTCCATAAAATCCAGTCTCCGAGTACAAGACAAGAGGATTTAGGCACATCTTTCTCCTGAACTTACACTGCCATTGCTCGAGCACTTCAAATTTTCCATGGATTTACTGTCCCAGCCATCATCCCTGCTTTACAAGCCGGAAAGCTGGAGTCCCACAGTGCCCTTATGAGGTGGCTCAGGGGTCCCCACTCCTCGGTGGCTCTGGGCCACCCTCTCTAAGGGCTGTAAAAGCACTGATCCTGCTTCAGGTGTGCACAGAGGGAAAACCTCTGGGAAGCCACCTCTGTGGGTCACAGACAGCGCATGGTATGGTGGTTCTAAACTTCAGCTGTATCACTTGCAAGCAGAAAGGTATAAGCAAGTTGCGAAGATGCCAAGGAACAAATGCTGAAGGAAGGTTTCTGTGAGGATGAGGATGTTTCTGGAAAGCACTGCAGATGTTGCAGGACAGAGAGGACCACCCTCCTCTATCGCAGTGTACACACAAGTGATGGTCTTTTCACTTAACTTTTCCTGTTGATAAATGCTTCTCATAATAAATGCATAAGAAAAAATGAAATAAGACAGTCTTTATCTCGCAGTCAGGGCAAAACAGATATTTACTGTTCCTTCTAATTGTAAATACTCTGGAGGTACTTGGCACCGTACAGACAGAAGCCACACAGATACACAGCCAGTTTAGAAAGTGACATCAAATCTCTTTTTTATAAATAATCATAGTGTGTTTTTCCTAAGCAAACCATCTTTGAGACTGCCAGGATCCTATCAGGAAAAAACTGCAAAATCTTCTCGTTTGGAAGAGACTTGGGTGTTTGAACCTATGTCCATAACGCAGCTGGAGCTGATGGGTCCATGCCCGTAGCCAGGGTTGCTGCAGGGCAAGAGGATAATGCCAAAGTGGAGGTGACTTCTAGCCTGCTGGGAAAACCCACAGGTCCATGACAGTCCCCTCCGGCAAGGGAAATCACGCTTTGGAGAAACTCCCGAGCTCCAGAAAGATGGGCAAAGAGGCAGCCCTGAGAGGGGCAGGGTCCCTGATGGAAAGGAAAAAAGTTGTACCTGCTGTCGGGAAGAGCCTGTGCAAACCCCTGACCTCTCCAGCACATTTCCTCCCTTCAGCACACAAGAGCTGGCTTTTTGCCAGTTCCCTTTTCGGATAACTTCTCAGGGCTTCAAGAATGTATTTTTAAAAATTCATAGGAAATTCCCACATAAAACGATATCTTTATTAGCTGATATGGACACTGTGATTACAGTCCCCAGCTGAACTACCAGGAGCCGGCAGCACCCAAAAAGAAATGCTCGGTAAAAACTGAGTGAGCACACATGGAAGGTCTCACCTGTTGTTCTGCTCCCATCTCCAGGATTGTGGTTGCAGGATCTTCCTGCTCTGGGATCGCTAGGCGGGACACTGGTCAAGGGGCCATGAGCAGCTGCAACGTACATCACTTGTCTGCATATCTTATTATTGTTATAATTATTATTTTCCATTTAATTTGATTTTATTTTTAAGTATTAAATAGTTCTCTCAACCCATGAGCCGTCCTTCCTTTTCCCGATTCCCCTCCTCGAGTGGGGAGGGGTCACTGGGTAACAGAACAGCTGGCTAGTGTTTAGCACTGGACGCAGGCTAAAGGTAGACAGAAAGCAAAGCACAAGCTTTGCAAGACTCCGGAGCAGTCTTCTCCTCTGAAGTAATCTCTGGACTGAACAAAATCGCATCCAGGAGCACTCCAGATGCAGCTGCAAGTATATAAACTGGTGTAATACAATAAACCAGTAATATAATAATAAGATGTAGTCTTTGCTGTATACCTTCTATAACAAATTGTCGGTGTTTTGGTCATTCCCAGGCTGCCAGGTGGGTACATC